TCCACCAATTAAAACAGAAATATAAATTAGTCCATAAAAAAATCCACGTAAACGTAAACGTTGAGTGTTATTTCTACACTCCACTGCATGTTTTGTATTTAGTGTTTTTGCTATTGTTTGGTTATGCGTATTAAAGTCCTAGTGTTCAATTTCGTGTTTTTAAGAACGTTGTTGCGAATGTACTATTGCGCATATTTTTTGACATGTACGTTTGTGCATGTCCATTTGAGCGAGTGTGTTTGTCCAGGTTTGTTGATTTGTATTAATGTCCTAGGATTGTAGTTTGTGTTTTCTTGATCCTTTTTGCGAATGCACTTTTGCGTGAGTACTTTTGTGCATGCTTTTGTACTTTTACTTATGTGCGTATATTTTGTAGCGAGATTTTTTGTGCACGTTTCTTCATGCGCATTCAAGTCCTCGAACTATAGCACGTATTTTCATGATCGCTTTTGGAATCCAATTTTGACTATGTTGGAGTCCGAATTTGGAAATTTGACATTAGACAGGAATTGTAGCCAGCTAAAATAGCTTTCTAATGCCGGCGGAACCAGTCGATTTGGAGTCCGGATGAGAAAGTTATGCTCGACATCGTGGACACTACCGAAGATGTTGAGGATCCTCTCTTCTAATTTGATTTTATTTTCCTAATTGCAACTCTTTTCTTACTCTTTGATCATTTTTGCTTCAGGGACACCTAATTATCAATTTGTACCTATGAGATATTAAATCCACCAATTAAAACAAAAATATAAATTAATCCATAAAAAAATCCACGTAAACGTAAACGTTGAGTGTTATTTCTACACTCCAGTGCATGTTTTGTATTTAGTGTTTTTGCTATTGTTTGGTTACGCGTATTAAAGTCCTAGTGTTCAATTTCGTGTTTTTAAGAACGTTGTTGCGAATGTACTATTGCGCATATTTTTTTACATGTACGTTTGTGCATGTCCATTTGAGCGAGTGTGTTTGTGCAGGTTTGTTGATTTGTATTAATGTCCTAGGATTGTAGTTTGTGTTTTCTTGATCCTTTTTGCGAATGCACTTTTGCGTGAGTACTTTTGTGCATGCTTTTGTACTTTTACTTATGTGCGTATATTTTGAAGCGAGAGTTTTTGTGCACGTTTCTTCATGCGCATTCGTGTCCTCGAACTATAGCACGTATTTTCATGATCGGTTTTGGAATCCAATTTTGACCATGTTGGAGTCCGAATTTGGAAATTTGACATTAGACAGGAATTGTAGCCAGCTAAAATAGCTTTCTAATGCCGCCGGAACCAGTTGATTCGGAGTCCGGATGAGAAAGTTGTGCTCGACTTCGTGGACACTACCGAAGATGTTGAGGGATCCTCTCTTCTAATTTGATTTTATTTTCCTAATTGCAACTCTTTTCTTACTCTTTGATCATTTTTGCTTCAGGGACACCAAATTATCAATTTGTACCTATGAGATACTAAATCCACCAATTAAAACATAAATATAAATTAATCCATAAAAAAATCCACGTAAACGTAAACGTTGAGTGTTATTTCTACACTCCACTGCATGTTTTGTATTTAGTGTTTTTGCTATTGTTTGGTTACGCGTATTAAAGTCCTAGTGTTCAATTTCGTGTTTTTAAGAACGTTGTTGCGAATGTACTATTGCGCATATTTTTTTACATGTACGTTTGTGCATGTCCATTCACTACAAGAAAAATTGGTTTTAGCGACCCTATGGTATGGTTGCTAAAAGTACAAAAATGGTCGCTAAAATATATAGTGACCAAATAAAAATGGCCACGATAGGTTAGCTACAAAAAGTACTCAGTGACGAGTTTTTTAGTTTGTCATTAAAAGTCTATACTTTTGTGACCATCTAATAATGGTCAGTAAAGATGTAATCGTCAGCGTCAAATTTGTACTCGCTGATACAAAGATTTATGGTTGTTGTAGTATTAACATCGTCACTATAGATACACATACAGTGACCACATACTTTGCATTCACTAAAGATGTAATTACCAGTGACGAATTTCTACTCGTTAAAATTAAGATTTATGGTCGTTGTTGTATAAACATCGTCGCTATAGATACACATACAATGACCATATCATGTGGTTGGTAAATGCATAGTCTCTGTAGATACACATACAATGACCATATCGTTTTGGTTGTTAAAAGAATAGTCGCTACTGATACACGTACAACGACCATTTTTTGTTAGTTGGTAAAGGATAGTCGCAATAGATACACATATAATGACCACATCATTTTGGTTGTTAAAAGAATAGTCGTTGTTGATACATATACAACGACCATTGTTTGTTGGTTGGTAAATGATAGTCGCAATAGATACACATACAATGACCATATCGATTTGGTTGTTAAAAGAATAGTCGCTATAAATCCACATATAATGACCATGTCGGTTTGGTAGTTAAATGAATGGTCGCTATAAATACACATACAACAACCATTTCTTTGTGGTTGGTAAAAATGATAGTCGCAGTAGATACAACATACAATGACCATGTCGTTTTGGTCGTTAAAAGAATAGTCGCTATAGAGACACATAAAATATATACAATGACCATGTCGTTTTGAGTGATCAAAGATACCAATATAGCAATAAAATGACTAGTCGCAATAATATTAATGTTTGTTGCTACCATATTATAATACTCATCGAGTCCCCGTAATATAATAACTGGTTGCTAAATCATTTATATGTTAAAGACCAAGAAACGGTGACAAAATAATAGCTATTGGTTGTATCATCTAGTCTATCTGAAAAATAACAGAGAAACTACAAAATGTAAAACACAAGTTGATGATACTTACAAAAATTACTCGGACATCTCATATAATGCTATATCACCAATCATTATATATGTACCATAACAAACAGACTACACCAATTCACAATATAACGAAAAACAAACCCAAGAAAAAACAATTTGTATATCCGTAATCCAACACACATTTTGCCACTCGATTAGGCCAAAAAGCTGCAGAGGCAGGTTTGTACTCAAAGCGACAATAATATTTGTCTACACCAACACTGCCCTGCTTAATATAATTCTTGAAAGTGTGAACTACGCATTTTCCCACAATTGTGTGATGTGAGCACTCTTGAGTGTCATAATGATTAGATCAGAATAACTCTTTTGGTTCATCAAATTGTCTCCTCCCACCAATAACTCTATCTGCCCTATATACTATCTCACTCAAATAGTCACTTCACTACGATTGTCGAATCAATATTTTCCGAACGTGCGACACAAGAGGCTGAATTGCTATATGATGGTCTCATCAACACAGTCTCCAGCTTTAAATCCACATGAGTACAATCAGAAAAAAAAATGATAAGCCGTCATTCTTACATATCTAAGAAATAGATACACCAATTTTATGCAGGTAAAAGCTCAATCACCAGATTTAAAAAAAAAAAGTTCCGATACACCACGACTAATTTGATTGACGAGATAAAATAATAACTTCAACAACAATTATTAGTGAACAACTTCAAGATAAAACAATTGCACCCGTAGACCATACTCTTTATAGATCTATTACCTAGCACCTACAAAGTATTGACAAAAATCTGGTAGGACTAGAATAAGGTGTATGTGTTAAAAAATTAAACCATGTTCACACTGTAAATAATAATAGGAGCAATAAACTTACGATCATATACTGCATTCATTGCAATTTCGCCATATACAAAAATAGCCTGTTCCAGAGCTTGACTGTAATCTGTTGATCAATAGAAAAAAACGTGTTACTACAATCTAGATAACTCAGCCAAGCAACTATAAATTAAATGTAATCATCATTACCCGAACATGCATGTGACTGTGGGATGATATTTATCGTCAATGGAGGCTTTTTTTCGCAACATGAATGATTTTACCACCTTGATCAAATGGATCAGTCAAATATAAAGAAATCAATCAAGACTTCATATCTAAAGAAACATAACAAAAAACTAAAGATATTCTACCCCAAAATTTTGGACAGACAACCAATTAATATCATCACATTGCACCAATAAAAAATAATGTATAATTATAAATATAAATATATAGATATACATATATATATATATATATATATATATATATATATATAGTAATTTGAACAAAAAAACTCATTATAAGCATATATAATATTAAATTTTGACTATAATATACACTAGCATGTGTGTATATTCTAAAAAATGTCTAATCATTAGAAAATTCACATAAATACACCACATAAACGTCGATAGCATTCATATGTACTAGACATGCGCTAACAAGTGGACAGTAGAAAAAGTACCATCTTTTTTCATAGAAAATAAATCAAATATTGAATACATACCAAGGAAAATGACAGATGTTGGCTCGCCTCCTACTTCCCCATCTCGAGTTTGGGTTATTTCAATCATTGACTACCATCATATAGAAACAACAAATATGTCAAAAGTCAATCAAGTAATATGAGTTCAATGAAATTTATGGTCACAAAGTGTAACATAGTGTAATACAAATGTAAATTACAGCCAAACTAGCACTTTTTTGGTCGATAAAATAGTCAAATGACTTGAGACAAAAAAAATAATGCCAAAAAGATAAGCGAAAAAACTAAGCTTTGTTGTCAGGTGAGTGACATCTAATTCTCGGACGTAATCAGTTTCGTCATTTGTAACTACAATTCCTGCAAAAATATTTAACATGAACAAAATGAAAACTTTGATAAACTAAAAAATTGAGCAGTATCAAGTATGACATCCAACTTAAGAACTTTTTCATGAATCTATACCAACTGCTACTAGATACTAATAATATGATGGACCCCAAATATAATACTTCAATCAACAACGAAAAAGCACTACACATATTCAGAATCCACGATACATACTCACACATACCAGTTCAATATACTGAAGCTATAATGTTAGGACATAATACATACAATGAACTAGAAATATACCTCAGTCTGGTAATAGTTTCAGGTGACTTCGGCAATATTTCAAAAGAAAAAAGATAAATTATAGCAACTAAGGGTACGATCACATGTGAAGATCCTCAACAATCATGTAGACCTTAATGATTTAATTTTTGTGCCTTTGTTGAACTTGATAATAAAATATTTATTGATGTCCCTAGTGAATTTCTTTTCACCTTAAAATCGGAGTTATTATCTTAAAAATCACACATCAAACAAAATGAAAAGTTCAAATACTTGATAAGATTATATATATATATATATATATATATATATATATATATATATATATATATATATATATATATATATACCTCCCAGCATAATGAATCATCAAAAGACGCAGAAGCAAAAGCTTCAATATTTGAACCCTTGACCTGAACATACATTTTTTGAAGGGCTTGCCTTGCAAGTTCTTGAAAGTCAGTTATACTTGTACCACATTCAACCATGATTTTGCCCTGTAAAGGAAAAAAAACACCGAAGTTTCTCATTAATTAATTTCTTGAAAATGTAAAACCCCAATCACATACATAAACACTATTCTCAGACAAATTAAGGATCAACTAAACCAGAAACGGGCAAGTTATGAATTGAGCATACAACCTCAGCTCCATACCAATTTAGTCACATTCAACTTTCTTGCTGAATATTGTGGATGTGAGTGGACACTTGCTACAGATAAATGTCATTTAAGTTTTAAATATCACTATGAAAAAAAGTAATTACCTCATGTTGAATAACTTGTTCAACCCATGTTGAAATTCTTGCAAATTGTAAATTGACCCACTGGAGCACCAATGTTACATATACGACCAATATCCAAACAATAAAAATAAATAAATCTCAAATAATAAACATTGAAAATAGCAGAAATTATTTTAAATTCTTTATACCTGGATCTTTTTACTATTCCAAGTCGCTATCTATGTCAGCATGAGATGCAACTTCATCGTCGCTGCTCCAATACTCATCTAGAGTGTCATCTTCTCCATCATCATCTTCTCCTTCATCTTTATCACGTGGATAAATTATCTTTTCTGGAATTTCGATCTCCAAAGGAGCTTCATTATTACGGTGTATCAATCCAATCTCTTGATCACTATCTTGAATGTTAATATGAGCACAACTTTCTTGTTGATACGCGTCATTTGTATCAGGTTCATTTCCATCGATAGATCGAATGAATGATGGGTCGAAAAGATGTCGATGTTGTACATGTTGAACTACTTTCCAATTTCCACCTAATTTTGTATCACTGACATAGAACACTTGGGATACTTGATTTGCTAAAATATAAGGTTCACTTTCATACCACAACTCACCCACATTTAAGCTTGTAAGATCACTATCTATCTTTACTAATTTGTTCCGATCCAAATTAAACCATTTGCAACTGAATAGTACGCATCGGTAACCGTGGGTATAGCTCAACTCAATCACATCTTCTAAGACACCATAAAATTTGATCATTTTACCTTTGTGAACAGAATGTGTACAAACTCCACTATTTTGTGTCACCCGTCTAGAATCTCTTTTGCTTGATAGATACTTGACACCTTCTACGATGCACCCACTACATTTACTAATACGATAATCAGGCCCAGAAGCAAGTGCAAGAAGTTCATTGGTAGCTTCTGGGGATTTTATGCTGCTCAACGTTTTCATCTAATTTTATGAAATAATGTGAGTTAACATGTGTTAAATAAGGAAAATATTAATATATGAAAAAAATGAAAACATAATTTCGAGATCTTACTCGACTATCAAACCATGAAGCAAACTCTTTCTTTTGTCTAGTCTCCCAACCAATAGGATTTTCTTGTTTAAGTTCTTCTTCATGCTTCCTGTAAAATGAAAAATTAACCCATCAAATAACGTTTAAGTGCTGTTATGGTATTTAAAAATTCTACTTACCTCAAATATGAATCTAACTCCACGCAATTATTCAAGACAAACCAATGCAATGAACTATATTGTTGAGGAGTCAACTGTACAAAATCTGTTTCTCCAAAAGTTCGAATTTTACTTCGAAAAACAGAGATTGTTGCATCTGGATGTTCCTCACCATCATAATTTCTTTGCTCTCTATTGTATTTCGTCTCAATTTCATGGAGATACAATGAACAAAAACTCAAACACTCTTTCACGATATAAGCCTCTGCGATTGAGCCTTCGGGACGAGCTCTATTTCGAACCATCCCTTTCAGACTACCAAGATACCTATAATTATATGAAAATACCTATAAATCTGACACATAACATAGATAAAAAAATATAAGCTATGCAACTAAGCAAACAAATCAAGAAAAGAAAAAGTAAAACTAAATTCGTTACCTTTCGATAGGGTACATCCATCTATAGTGAACAGGTCCACCAATCTTTGCTTCTTGTGCCAAATGAATTGCTAGATGGACCATCACATCAAAGAAAGCAGGTGGAAATATCATTTCTAACTTGCTTAATATCACAGGAATCATTTTCTCCAAATTTTCAAGGACATCCAAACTCAATTTTCTAGAACATAACTGTCTGAAAAAACTTGCCAACTCGGTAATAGCATTAAGAACATCTTTATGTAAGTAACCACGCAACCCTACAGGAAGCAAACGTTGTAATAGAACATGACAATCATGACTTTTCAGCCCTGTTATCTTACCATCTTTGATATTCACACATCTGGATATATTTGCGGCGTACCCATCCGGGAATTTTACTCCTTTCAAGAACTCACAAAAATCTTTTTTCTCCTTTCGGGATAGGGTATAAAGTGCACGCGGCTTTAAACACTTCAGCTTACCTTCTTTATTTGCTTTGGCACCTTCTATTGGCTTCAAGTGTAACTCACTTCTTACACCTATATCCTCTAAATCTAAACGAGACTTTTCAGTATCCTTTGTTTTACCATCAATATCTAATATAGTTCCCATCACATTATCACATATATTCTTCTCAATGTGCATTACATCAAGATTGTGCCGTAATTTTAGTTTAGACCAATATGGCAACTCAAATAATATACTTTTTTTTGTCCAACATAAGTCATGCGAAGGACGCTTTCGTTTTTTATCCATGGGCTGCTTGCCAAGCACAACATTTTCTACATTTTCTAGCTGTATAAGAATTTCAGCATTAGAAAGCTCCATCGGTTTTGATCGGTGTTCTGTCCGACCATTAAATTTGAGACTTCTACGATATGGATGATTGCGTGGCAAGTAACGCCTGTGGCCGATATAACCAATCTTGCTCCTTAGCCTTTGTGAAGGAGTTTCGGAACTACATCTTGGACAAGCACAATATCCCTTTGTTCGATGTCCAGAAATATCACCATACGCAGGAAAATCATGAATTGTCCACAAAATTGCAGCATGTAAAACAAAAAACTCTCCAGTTTTAGCATCTCTCGTTCTTACTCCAGATTCCCATAACTCCTTGAGATCATCTACCAAAGGTCTCAAATATACATCAATATCTCTTCCAGGTGACCTAGGACCCGGAATTAATAGGGACATAATAAAATAAGGTTCTTTCATGCATAACCAAGGGGGTAAGTTATATGGCACCAAAATCACCGGCCATATACTATAGGAGTTATTCATGTTACCGAAAGGATTAAACCCATCAGTGGCTAGTCCAAGGCGGACGTTTCTTGGATCTTGAGCAAACCATGGATATTTTTTATCGAGATCTTTCCAAGCTTCAGAATCTGATGGATGGATCATTGTACCTTCTTCGTCAATTTTTCCATCTTTATACCATCGCATATCAGACGCTGTCTTTCTCGATAGATAAAGTCTTTGCAGTTTTGGCTTTAGAGGAAAATAGCGCAAAACTTTATGAGGAATTTGTTTTCCTTTTCCATCATTTACTTTCCATCTAGATTCTTTGCATATTGGACAGTTAATTAAGGTCTCGTGTTCTTTCCAAAAGAGAATGCAATCATTTTTACATGCATGGATAAACTCGTAACCCAACCCAATATCTTTTAATACCTTTCTAGATTCATAAAACGATGAAGGAATAATATGACCATCAGGCAGATATTGTTTGAATAAATCAATAATCATGTCATAACATTTATTAGTCATTCGGTTCAAAACCTTTATGTGAAGTAGTTTGACAAGGAAAGATAACAATGATTTGGAGCAACCAGGATATAACTTACGTCGTGTATCTTTCAGCAATTTATGAAAATTTCCCACTTCATCATCAGATACGAGATTTGGTTGACCAGCATGAGTATCATCACAATGGTCGAATGGACCTTCATAATCATCATCAAAATTCTGCATCCCAAAATTCAAATCCTCCAACATCTCTTCCTCTTCAAATGTCTCATCTACATTATCATGAACATTCTTATCTTCCACATATTTATTAGACTTTTCACCATGATGCACCCATTCATTATAAAAAATATCTATCCCATTAGTGAGTAAATGCAATTTAACCAAGTAAGGTGGGTGCAAACTCTGATTTAAACAATCTCCACATGGACAAGGCATATCATTTCTCTCCCCAATATGCTGTACAGCAAATCTCATGAAATTTTTAACTCCATTAACATATTCTTCTGAAGTAAAATTATTGAGCTTGATCCAAGTCTTATCCATTAGCAACTTTTATACTAAAAGAGAAAAGAGAGGTAAAAATATTAGATTATGTAATAACTGACATGAATTACATAAAAGAATAATACTATGAACACTATAGCAAGTAAACACATAAAGCAAAAGACGCATAATGAGTATGGTCTAATATATATAGAATGGGGTGTTAAGAATAGACCTTAATTTATTTTCCAAATGCAGAAAAGACTCTTCATTAATTTATATTTGCGCAATAGTATAATTCTGTAAACAAATTATCAACCTTCGAATTTCAATATTACCACATAGCTATGCTGTAAACATGAAACATGCATAGTAGTTCTTTAAAGTAACAAACTTTCAATTACAATATTATTCCATTAGAAAGATTTAGCATATATTCTCTTAACAGGAATAAAATGTCTGCCTGCTTCTTGTCATTACTTGCTTCTTATCATTACTCGAAGAACAATATAAAATTAAAAGAGAAAATATATACAAATTAAACAAAACTACTATTTGTTTCTATACATGCAATTTATTTTATTTATCAACAGATACATGTATCACAAATTCACAATTGGATCTTTCAAAAAATGTCATTCTTTCCCTCAATCAAAAATGTCATCAGAGCTTTCAAAAAAGAAAAAAAAACCATTGTAGAACAAAATTGATTTCTAAACTATAAAGAATCGTACAACCCTTAATTTACAAACAAGAAGACCCATAATTTAAAATAACGAAATTTAGTAGAACTAGGGCTTTTTGAAAAGTAAATTCGATGAACAATTTATATATATTGAGAGAAATTGGTAGCAGGAAATACCTTGATCGAGAAAACAAAGAAGGGCAAGACAATTAGCATGAAGATTAACGCAATGACTGAGTTTCTTTGGACATCAGAGAGAGATGGTGTTCGCGTTTGATGAATGGGTTTGCCAAGATAGAGAAGTTCAATTTTGTTTTCTTCATTTTTTTTTCTATTTTTTTTCCTACTATTAAATAATAAAG